ACACACACACATGTGTGAGCTCAGTGTAGGAGCCTGGGGATTTGCAGAAATCCTATTGGTCTACAAATGATAAAGGCGTCCCTGTGGCCGGCAGTTCAGCATGGATGATCACAGATACTGGTTGTTGAGTTGCACCCGTAGATACCAATGTTTATTTACCATCTGCGTTGTTTTAGTACCCGATTCACCAAAGGAATTATGCAAAGTATGGTCACGACACAGACACACCCAAAAATGTAATCCTGAATACAATTTCCAAAGCACAATTTCTGATTCTGCAGGTCGTTCTGAGTATGTGACCTACCTCATCATTATGAAAATAATCACAGCATTAAACAGATGGTTCATCCAAAATTGAAAATTCTGTCATCATTTACTCACCCTCATGTTGTGTTCTAAACCTGTATGGGTTTAAGAGTTTATTCATGCTGATTTTTGTCTATGTAATGAAAGAGGAATTGCTGACAAGATTAAAAAAAAATGTCAAAAAGCATGTTAGAAGTGTCATAAAAATATCCTGTATTATTCATATAAAAAATATCCTGTATGATTCATAACTGAATATCAGCAATAGCTTTATATATGGAACAGATATTGTGGACTGAAAATAGTGCCCTCAAATCTAATTTGTGCAATTTGAAAATTAGCATATTCAAATTTGGTGCATTATGATTGGGTTATGAGACCCAATGAAGTTTGACATCACTGATGTGACTCATCTTGGAGTATGTATAGTATATGTTTCACCATTCATTGTGTTTGAAGAAAAGAATCATAGAGGTTTCGAAACAACAAAGAGGAGTGAATGACTGAATAAAGTTTGGATAAAATGCTCATTTAATTTAGATGACAAGATTAATCACTGTCCTCAATATAAAAATAGACAATTATAAAGGCATAATTAAGAAAAAAATCAATACTATAATATGTACAGTGAGGGTCTTTGCTTATGTTGATCAAGGCAGTAGTTGGTTTCTGAGGGTATGCAGCTGAAAAATTAATTTCATTCATATTTTTTTTGTCTCTCTACGTCCTTTCCCAGTTTGTCTCTGTGTATTTTTTTTTAATGGCAGAAAATAAAGCTTAAAATAATTTTGAGATGAAAATATTTAGACTGAGGAAAGCAGTTAAATAAGAAATTTAATGAACATGTTTTGTGTCTGTTCAGTATAGGTCTTCTGCTGCTGGCCAAACCTCTGGACAGAGAGACCATCGACCAGTATCGCCTCATCGTCACGGCATCTGATGGCCACCCAGGAGGGGTGAGACTGCACCCATCCCACAATATCAGCACTATAACACTGACTGATGGCTGCTCTGATTCAAACGTCTGATCTCTTCACACCCTCTTTTCATATCTTTCATATAATAGGTTTTATGGCACATATTCATGTTGCTTTAAATGCATACAGTGTCTACACAAAAGTACACAGTAGCTACACAAACATAGCTGGAAAACTATTTCTATATCATTAGGTATTAATTAGTTTATTCCTTTTGCATAGTCATTACTGCCAAAAACTCCTCAGGGATGTTCTGTAATGAGACTCAGTGCACATTCTGTTTAAACACATTCACCTTTTTTAAAAGAACATTCACTTGTATTATCAGCTTAGCTTCTCTAATGAGAGAATTTTAGCAAACAGAAACGCTGGAGTGCTAAATGACTGCATGAAGCTCATTTATCAAACACAGTCTGATATCTGTAGAGCTGATGAGGAGGGAGTTTTCAAGAAAGACAGGCATGTAAAAAGCATTTTGAGACAGAAGGACATGCCTTAATCTTTCCCTGCGCAACATGACTGGGCAAAATGACTTTCATCTTGTCAAACAAGTCCATTAAATCATTTCCATTCCAGATCATGGTCATGGAAAGTGCAAAGAGGTTAATTAATCAATGTAATTTACCTGACCTTCACCTCTTAAAACATGATAATGATATCTAATGAAATATTCAGTGCAGCTCGCGTTTTTGAGATCAAACAGGCTTCAGTGGGGTTCAGCACATTCGTTTCGCACTTGTCTTTCAGTCAGTGTTTATGTGTGCGTATTTGATGGTGTTGATGCCTCTTGACAGAAATGTAAAGAAAAAAAACAATTTTGTAGTGCACCTGAACATGTTTTTGCCAAACAACAACTCCATATATGAATATATAATTCCCTTACCAGAAGAATTTTTTTTTCTTTCCTTCCCCCGTTTTTTTTTTTTTTTTTTGGGGGAATTAATTTTTCATGCACATCCCACTGGGATTTAAACTCTACATGCTGATCTTGACTAATCGGTTGAATTTATATTCATCACTGTGTGCTATTAAACTTAAGCCCCAGGAACTCAATTGCTTATGATTTAATTACATCTCTGTAAATGTGTTTCTGGAATAGAGTCAGAAACTAAATGGTGACACTATTTTTTTTCCTAGAGAAGTCATTTTCAATATTTAAAAAGGCAAAAAAAAAAAAGACTGACAGACAGCAGCAGGGTGAATGTCAGAGTGAATACTGTGAAAGGTTCAGGGTTTGACAGCAAGTGCACACTGAACTCCAGGGTTCAGATTTGTCAGGGCTGTACTTTTTGTAGGTTTATAGGCACAAACACACTAACAATTCCTCCCTAAATTTTCTGCAAAGATCTTCATCCTTCATAATTACAGATTTATAAGATAGCAAAATCATTTTTTTTCAGGACCAACAAGAATGTTGATCCGGTAACTTGCCATTCTTATATATTTAATTCCTGTTGATATTGAATTAATCTGTCTATATTTGTAGATTTCCACAGCCACTGTCAGCATTGTCATCACGGATGTTAATGACAATGACCCCACCTTCGACCTCACTCTTCCCAGAAATCTGACCGTGAGGGAGGAAGAGGCCAATGTGCTCGTGGGTCAAGTCAGGGTAAGTTCCATGATGAAATAAATAAAGTATCTTTAGTTTTGGTGAGATTTTTAGCTTCTGAGGGTCCCGTGAGGTTTACACCTGCCGCCCCTTTAACTGTCGTGCCGCACAGATCTTCAGACATCACTTTCTATTGTTCCCTAATTAAGTCATGGTAAATTAGAGTCATTAGTCACCTTACAGTCAGTCCCTTATGACTGCTTCTGTTCCGCCCTGCCAAGCGGTTAGATTTTTAATTAGCGTGTTTGATTAATCATGCTTTGGTTGGTAAGAAAGATGATCAATGAAAGATGTGTTAAGCTTTCATTCACAATGCCGTGTTGTCATTATGCGGCTCTTTACCGCTCATTTGTTGTTCTGTGATGTCTTGATCACTGAGCTTGGTGCCAATGTGATTGACAGGAGTGAGGTGACCCAACGGTGCCTTCGTGCTTGAATAAAATTGTGATTGAAGTCATTTAGTGCATGTTGGCCTCATATGACATGAGATTGTTTTCATGAAGTAACTACTAAACAACGAAACATTTGTTTCTTGGACATTGCTCATAGGGATCCCTCCCTATGACCTGTTCTCTCTCTTTCCATCATCTTTCTTTTTATTTCATCATCCTCTCATGTTCTGTGTAGTCTGCCATGTTCACAACAAGCAGGTGCTCACCAAACTTTGAGGCCTCACTCTCAAATTCACACACAGATCCCTGTGGAGATCAAAACCACCTGGATTCTTATTGTGCTGTGACAACAAACAAGCATACACATACAAACACTTCACACATCACAAATGCACATCAGTGTGTTTCCGCTCTACAGACACTTACAGCCATGTTGTTTGCCACAGGCTAACATGTCCAAAAGCCTTAAGATACTATTCACGCTGAGAGCTTCAAACAAGGCTTCGATAAAACTATTAGCTTTGAAGACATGTTCACTCTGGGGACAATTTTCTTTTGCCAACAAATCAAGGTTTTTGTTATATATATATATATAT